TTTTTTTTAAAATAATAATATAATTATTAAAATTTTGTAGGTGGGTCCCACTTTAGCGACCAATATTTGTCACTAATCTCAGTAAATATTTGACCAAGAAAGTCTGACCAGTCCAATCAATATTTTGACTAATATAGCAACCAAGTAGCGACCAACTTGGTCGCTATTTTGTTTCTTTTATTTATTTTATTATTTTCGCTAGTTTAGCGACCAACTTTGGTCGCTTTTTCCCACAGACCAATTTTGGTCGCTAAATTTTGGTCGCTTTTTTCCGGATTTCTAGTAGTGAAAGGAAACTAATTACACACCTAATTTTTTTTATATTAAAATTAACATCAGAACTCTTAATCCTTTGCATAAGGTCGTGACTCATGATATCAGCATTAGCATGAGGTCATTTTATCACATTTACATTCGGTTATAAGTGTGTCATCTTTCTAACTTGCCTCAAATTTCTACAAGAAAATTACTCCAATTCCTGCTTATGCAAATCATAGTTTCTAGAATTCTATCATTACAAGTTGATTGAACTGATGTTGCATGAGTCTGTAGTTGATCATTTATTTTTCTACAAAAATATAATGGTCTTGTTGTTTCCTTATAGTTAATATTTAATTAGATTGATAGTATTCATTACTTCCTTTTCCACCAATCTGCTAAACCATTCAAAGGAGTATGTAATTATCTTCTCATCTATAAGAAATAGTACGAATTTTCTTCTCAGTGTTTAATCTTCGACAATTTTGTAGTTGTACAAATAACGACGTGCTGTGCTGGCTAGCGATAGAGGTGTTTATTGGTGGTGGTATGAGATGGGGGTTATACAAGTAGTGAAGGGAATTAACTGCATGTAAAAGTGACACGTCCTTTTATGTGTCACTAGTATTCATACCCGCACATTGAGCGGAGAATGAAAAAAATAAAATAAAAAGGTGAAAGACGTAAAATGCCCTTTTAAGTTGTCCCAAATGATCATTTAAACACCTTAACTTGACATATAACCAGATAGACACCTCTACTTGGAAGAACTGTATTTCTTAAACCCTCGTGCTGACACGGCAAAATTTGTGTTGCACTCAGATATGAGCGCGTGAATCTCTTTAAAATTAGCTATCTTCTTTTTTTCTCCCTAAAATCAATATAGACCTCACCTAATTCATACCTCTTTCTTCTCCAATTTTCCTCCACCATCCTCTGCCCCAAACTATCTTCTCCACCTTCCACCTCCATGCTAGAAAAAAAACATATCAAGGACACAACTTTAATTACCACCGCAATCAATGTCAACCACTAAACAAAGTTACAAACCCAAAAAAATATATCTCCACTGTTACACCACCACAGAACCATTGTCACTTCCTTCAATCTTCCTTATTGAATCCAAATCTGGAAAAAAAAACTCATCTAAAACCTTCCAGTTTCACCATAATTAGTTCTGACAGTTGGTTCTTTACGGTGATAATATATCAATCAAGTGGGTTGATACGATTTTTGATTTGGTTTTGAGAAGAAAAAAAAAAGAGTGAAGTGGGCTTTGGCAGTCGGTGGCATAAGGGTCGGGGCTTCAAAGAGCAATAAACTATGAGGCTATTGCAGAAAGGAAAGTCGGCAAAGAGATTAAGAGCAGTAGTGAAAGCAAAGCAAAGCAAAGAGGGTTTTAATGTGGCAAAGCAGTGGAAAGGAGATGCAACGTCTGGGGGAGGGAGAAAGGAGAGTCTTTTTCTTCTTTTTTTTTTTAATTAAAGAATTACAAGTATTTTTTAATATATACTATAATATATTCAAGAAATACACATGTCATTCAATAATTTGTCAAATTGACATGTCATCAGCGAGTGTAACTCACACATGAGGTTTATTAAACTCGAGTGTTCACGAGACACGCCTATGTTAAATAGAAGTGTCTGTCTGGTCATATGCCAAGTTAAGGTGTTCAAATGATCGTTGGGACAACTTAAAGGGGCGCTTTATGTATTTCGCCAAATAAAAATAAGAAAATTTTACCTGAATACTATGGTAGACACAAAGGAGCATGAAAGAAATCTTATTTTGTTATTCATTTATTCTTTATATATGTTTGGTCTTGTCGCTTTTCATTATATTTACATACCTAGTCGACACACATTGTGTGTTTCAGACAAAGAGAAAATCAAAACAGATAGCATACATAATTTACTTAAAGCTTCTAGCCATTACTGTAAAGCAAATGTATGGGCTTTACCATTCTTAGATAAACCTTTGCCTATCTCCATGAAAAAACGAAAATGTTAGTGAAATTAATTACATATGGAATTGATGCGATCCAAATTTACTTTGCTCTAGTTCTTGCACTTGACCACCACGAAATTGATGTCTTATCTTCTCAAGATCAAGAAATAAAATAGAAGTGTGTTCGACTTATGCCAACTGTAATAGCTTCCACCTGTAACAAATCGAAAATGGTATCAGAAAAATGTGAAATCAATACAACTTTATTTTAACAGAAAGAAAATCAAAATACATACCAATTATGCTGAATGAATATTGTACTATATGGTAATTTTCGTCTCGTCCTAAAGCTTTTGCATACTTTTTTAAAATTTATATTTATATCATATTTTGTGCTACAACTATATGCCAAAAGCTGTAAAATTTATCATGTTTTTCTTTTAAGGATAAGGTCTTGACAAACTTATCAGTTTGGAAATGTTAAGCAAGTATTTGCAATGGACTGTATATACTTGCGAGAGAAAGGTAGATGCATAAAATAAATGTGGATTTTTAATTAGCATTTTATGTTCCTTAAAAGCACACGTTTCACAAAGAGATATTATCTGAGTTGAGTAAATTCCAATTAAATTCATCATGTGTACCTTCAAGTTGAGAATAAATATTGAAAATTGTGAAAAGACTCTAACCAAAAAACGATATAGAGAGATAAGAATGATAACTATTGACCAAATGCACACCAGATTTCTTAACTGATAAAATTATGTCGTGTTTTGGAAGAATAGTTTTTATGATTAATAAAAGAGTAAAAAAAACCATTACGGTTGCAACTTGTTGAAGAAGGATAAGATTGAGTCCGCAATCTGTTAGACATCAAAAGGAACTTATCCTAAATCTTTCAATTTAGATCTCAAAGAACAGAACACCAAGATAAGAGAACTATGGATGACCTAAGAATATACAGTTGGATATCTATGACTTTTTGTGCCAGCTTTATATTTGTCCTAAAGAAATGCTTTAAAAATTACCTCGCAGCAGTTTGTTGCTGTATAGTACGGTAATTTTAACAGTCAGAGATATTAAATGATAATTGTATTGGGAAAAAACTGGATTTATATATTGAAGATGACGTGTCATGGCACGTGGACTGGTCAAATGGTCAAAACACGGTAATCAACCAAGAAGGCACGGGCGACAACAGATACGGAGAGAAGAAAGTTAAATAGGCACGAGTCGCTATTCAAAAGGCACGAGTTTCGTACCTATATAAGTCATTTAAAACCCGAAGATCGGAAGGGATTGAAGATATGAATCTGATGACGCACAAGAGTCCAAATTCAGCATTAAATATCAAATACGTTAGAGAATTTGTATTTAATAGGAATGATTGAGTAACGTTTCTTTTAATGTCATTTATTGCTCATAATTGCCTTATTAAGACAAAGGCATTACACCTTCTCCTAGAATCAACTATAAAAGGAGAAGGACTCGACATCTGTAGACACACAAAATATTATTGGGATTACACTGAAACACAAAACTACTTATTACTTTATTATTCTCAGAAATCTTCTATTATTTTCGTCTCCAGATTATAGTAACCCGAATTTCTCTATATTTCTAAAGTTTTGACCAAAGACAGGATTCAAAAGGTAATTGGCCTGAGGTATTATCTAGAGTATTATGGGCTTATCTTACAACGACAAAAACAATCATGGGAGAAACACCATTTTCAATGGTTTATGATGCAGAGGCTTTAATTCCAGTTGAAATAGGAGAACCGAGCACACGGTACGTTCAAGCAACGGAGGAATCAAATGATGAAGAGATGCGGGTGAATCTTGATTTGCTCGAAGGAAGAAGAGAAACTGCACTAATAAGGATGGCAGCACAAAAGCAAGTAATTGAACGATATTATAACAGGAAAGCACGCCTCAGATTCTTTAAAATTGGGGACTTCGTGCTTAAAAAGGTGTTCCAATCTACAAAAGCTGCTAATTCAGGAAAGCTAAGTCCAACATGGGAAGGACCCTACAGAGTTCGTGACATTGCGGGAAAAGGAGCATACGAGTTGGAGATAATGGATGGCAAGGTTCTACCCTCGCATTGGAATGCTGTCCACCTAAAGCGATATTATTTATGAGAAAGTACCTACGATCAGGTATCGCTGTATTAGAATTTTTCTTTGAATTGTTAAAATTTTACTAACGATTTTAGATGCTAGGCAAAAACCCTAACTCGTGCCAAATGATGAGTCACGACCTGCACGGCAAAATGGAATATTCTAAAATTCCCAGCCCAGGGTTACAAATTAATCTGATGGAAATACACACGGGTTAGGCAGTCTTCATCTTTAATCGCACCTCCGAGTCCCGTATGTTTTTCTGTTTTCAGGAAAAAAGACCAAATTGTGAGAAACAAACAAGTGCTCGAGGCTTCATACTTCAGCGCTCAAACACTTGGGGGACTGCATATTGTACACAAATACGTGCGGTAAGACGGGGACGTAAATTGAAACAAGTATCGAGCAGAAGTTACGAAACCTCAACATTCATCATTGTGTTCTTTCCTATCAAAACAAAGGAAGATGCAAAACATTCATCGTAGTGTTCTTTCCCATGAGAACAACGGAATCACCTCTCAAACCCTTCCTAATACATTAAGATAGGGTCATGACTATGTATTGAAGCAGGTTATAAGGAAAAA